ATCCTCCTCTTTTTGCTGAGGAAGACTGGCCCTGGGCTAACATCCGTGCCCATCTTCCTCCACTTTATATGGGACGCCGCCACAGCATGGCCTGACAAGCAGTGCGTCGGTGCGAGCCCAGGGTTCCGAACCGGCAAACCCCTGGCCGCCGCAGTGGAGCGCACGCACTTAACCGCTTGCGCCACCAGGCCGGCCCCAGGATGTGCACTTTTAATTTAGGATTATAATTCTTGATAATGTTTCTGTGAGCCTTTAATGTGATTTATAGGAAGGCTGGGTTATTGAAATCACCATTATACCTCTTCTGTAAAACTACTCCAAAATTAGACCTGCTTGTTGGGGAGAATTCTTGGACAGAAGGTCGATGTTGCCCCCATCCATGGGGGCTTGATAACGTTGTTGTTAAGTGGTCTTCCTCCATAGGGGTCCTGCAGCCCCAAGGATGAAAGCGCAGTAGGAATTGATAGCAGGCTTATTGGGTACCTCAGTGTCTCTTGAATGTGGTATATTGCTTTTGCCACCTCCCTATCCAGCAGACATGAAGCCAAACCAAAAGGTAGATATCTGGAATGGAGGTGCGTTTTGTAATCAAGGCAGATATTTGCCTTAATTAAGGATCAAACTGCTTTATAAATATTAGAAAAGTGCTTTGGGCCTGATTGGGAGAGGAGGCAGCTTAACTGGAAGTTATGCCCATTTTAATATTATTGGAGAATAGGATGTCAGAGCTGAGAGGACCTGTACCCATCTCCTGCAGTTTGCTTGTGGAGAAACCAAGGCCCTAAGAAACCGCAGTTCCTTGCCCAAGAATCCATAGAAAGAGGTAGCTAGTGGAAGAGTTATGATGCCAGCCTGATGGTATGGATTCTAAGTTAAGTCTTCTAGCCTCTAGCAATACTAAAAATAGATTAGAAGGGTTTCTTCTATTTACTATGTTGAATTTTATTTACTTAGTCTTAAAATATGAAAACATGTTTTAATGAGTTTTAGATCTAGATATTTCTCTTGGATTGAAGCAAAAAATAAAGTCTGAAGGGAAAGAGTATGATTGAACTATTTGTTCTTCTGAACACCTCACCTTTCATGATGCAATAAATTACTCTGAGTTTCTTGGCAGAACTTTTGACAGCTGTTGCTTTGAATGGATTCCATTCCTGTATTCCTTATGGGAGTTTGTTTTTAAAATAGACTACTGTGATTGAAATGAACTCAATATGTAGTAAATTATAGTTTTCTTCAATACATCTTTGGTTACTTGGGTTACAAATGTTCAACTTCAGCATATTTGAGGGTGAGTAATCAAAAACATGAATTTTCCTTTGATTTCCTACCAGTGTTTGAACTATCATAAAGCATTCTTCTCTTCATATGTGTCTTGATTCTATAGTCTGTTTCTAAATGATATTTTTCTATTTCTTAAATGATCTCACAACCATGGTAATAATAGATGTATACTCAGAAAATCAATAAGAAAATAATCTGGAATGGATGTGTTTCTTGTGATTAAAACAGGCATTTGCAAATGTCCTCTTCTAAGCAGTAGCTGGAAAGATCTCAATTACAGTATAGCACCTTAGAGCTAAAAACATTTGTTCAACACAAACTAGAATCACACCTCCTGACTAGATATCACCAAGGGAATGGGATTTTAAAAATGTAAAAAAAAAAAAAAAGAATTCAAATATCATAGCAACCAGATCTTCCCATAGTATTGACAAGTACAACTCAGTAGGTTGTGGTTTGAACATTATGAATGTGAACAAAATGAACTATCAGCTGAGAGATCTTTTTCTCCTCTAGTTAAATAGAACACTGGTAACTTGGTTTCTCTTTCAAACTGGTTTACTCTGTTTCAAGTATACTCTTTTAACTCTGATTTCAAAGGATCACTTGAATTTGCACTTTAGTTATGGGTGTTTTGTTATGGTTTTTTTGTATCATGACTCAGTGTGGTTCAACTTCCTACTAAGAAGTGGGGATTTGGGTTTTTGGAGTCCTGAGGTGGCATATCTTGCTTCTCCTTGGGCACAGGCTAAGGGAGAGTGCCCACCAATGCCAACAGATCAGTCATTGATGGCAATTTGAAATGTGAATCTTACTCCGTGAGCCACCCTGCTTTGCTTATTTGCAGTGAGAAATGCATCTAGTTACGTGACCCTCCCAAGAGCAGTGGTAAGCACAGCAGACACGGAGGGCCAGACTTTAAAAACAATGCAAGCGGATTCTAAGAGGTGCTTCCCTTCCCAAAAATAGGCTTTCAGAGGTTGCCTTACAAGCGTTCCCTGAAATAGCCAGTCTGTTAATGTGAGGAAGACATCCCAGGTACACAGTTGCTTTTAGGCTTGTATACTTATTTTCTACATTTGCTAATACACTTGATGATAAAGGAACCTTTTCTAAAAGGCATTGCAGGGTTTCAATTGAGAGGACTTGTTCTAATTACAGAAGCCTTGCTCTGCTCTCCAGTTGGGGAATGTTCATTTTTTTGTGTTTTGTGAATTCTCCTGTCTTGCTCTAAGCTAAGTTCATGGCTGTGGGAGGTTGGAGAAAGTGGGTTTATGACTCTGAAGACCAGAGGACACTGGACTTTTAAGAGGGCTCGAATTCGAATTCGAGGGCTACAGTAGGGAAATCTTCAGGTACCAGTTCCGTCCTAAAGTACTCTGTTAGATGACAGCACTGTATCCTAAGGCTCCTTTGGGGAGCTCTGCCCTGGGAATAAAACAGTTGATGCAATAACCCCATTGTATGGCGATTGGATCAACTGAGTTGTGTTGTTTTTGTTTTGTTTTAAGGCAACTTGTGTGAGGGCTTCAGCTGTACCCACCTTGGGAACTGGGTATGCTCTTTTCTTTAGCACTGCCCTTCTTTTTGTCTTCAGCACAAATACAATGTTCAAGTGAGCCAGAGGCAGGAAGAGCCATTTTAGTCTTCATAGCAGTGGGCCAGGAGAGACCATGAGCTGATGGTCTATTTTAACCTTGAAAGTAAAAATGTATATTTTTTCACTACAGGTACATTAAACAGTAAAACGAGTAACAGCAAAGTATATATTTGATGCCTTCTGTCTTTTCTTGATGATATGCTAACAAGTGTGTTAATATTTTACTCAGCCAGAGTCTCATTCATTTGCTAAGCATTGGGAACATTGTGTATATTGATCTTAGACATAAATAAATATAGGGCATCCTATATATGGATTGTGACTTGTAGACTCAAGCTAACCTTACTGCCTCTTTTTCACACTTGTTGGAAGGTCTGTGAAGAACATAGTAGGTTAAGAATCGCCAACTTTGGAAAATGTACAGGTTGTGAAACTGGGGTGCTATGTTAAAAATAAATGTATGATAACTAAGTGTGGCTTTTATGGAGTCTTGGTGTCAATATATTGACGTCCACATTTGGTCTCGTGCATTTAATGCAAGTGACGTGAAAAGGCGTTGGAGGTCTTCCCAATTAAATCGAAGTCTGAGATTTGGTTATTTTCACCTCCTGGTGATCTGAGCTAGGTCCTTAAATATCTGCACACAGTAAACACTGGGCAATCATGGGATATCATGGCTAACTCACAGTGCATTTTAAAGATCCACTGATTTGAAAACCTGGCTTAATGTGGAGTCCAGTTATTTGCTTCATCTTGTCAGTGTTCTTTTTGTTAAAAAATGTTCCCATCATAACGTACTTAGCTGGAATGGGGGTGAAGGGGAGGGATCAGGAAGAGTTGGCTTGAAATCCCAACCAAGTACTCTGGCACCGAAGTTGCAGTTTCTTACCTTTAAAATTTGAATAATTTTAGGAGGCACCAGTCTCCTATCAGGTGGAGGTTTTATCCTGTATTGTGGGTGCAAATGGTGGGTTACACATAGGATATTTCCAGTCTAGTAGTTCCAAATGCCAAACTAACTCTGGAAAAATGATCCCTGATTTGGCTCATAAGCTTGGACACTGGAGATCACCAGGCCCTGACCTTTCCCAAACACTGGTGAGGATCACTGGGTCACATACTTTAGAGATAAAAGAGACCTGAGATCAAATAGGCAAGTCGTTCCCAAAGTGTGGCCCCCAGACCAGCATCATCAGCATCATCAGGGAACTTATTAGAAATGCAAATTCTTGGGACCCATCCCAGACCAATTGAATCAGGAACTCTGGGAATGGGCCCTGCAATCTGTGTGTTAACAAGCTCTCCAGGTGATAGCAGTGCTCACTAAAGTAGAACTGATCTCACTAACATCATTTTACAGTCAAGGAGACTGCGGTGCAGAGAGGCAAAACGGACTCACCTAGGGTCTCAGCTAATTCAGAGCCAAGGACAAAAATGTTCTCAGGGCAGACTTTCTGCTATGCAGCTGTGTCCATTCATGAGTTTCTTCTCTCTCCTGATCTTCCTTCCACAGATATTTACTGTGCCCCTACAGTGTATTAAGCACTCTGTTGGGAGCTACAGATGAGACCTACAAGACAGAATCCCTTCCCTCAAGGAGCTCACAGAGACCTACAAATGAATTGCAGTGCAGTGTGGGATAGGTACTATGATGTATTGGTCAGGGTGGGCTGACTGCTATTACAAAGAACCCCAAGAGTTCAGTGGCTTGACACAATGAAAGTTTATTTCTCACCTTAAAGTCCAGAGTGGATGTTCATAGTTGTGCCATTTTCTTTGAGGTTATGCGGGAACCCAGACTCCTTCCATATTTGCCTCCATCTTCCTCTAGGGCTAGAGAGTTTTCTCCCTTTTAGCCAGTGTGTAAAGAAAAGAGGGGCTGCAGAGAGGATACAATTTCTCTTCACAGAAGTGACACACATCACTTCTATGCATATTTCATTTCCCGGAACTCAGCCATATGATAGCAGTTAACCACAAGGGAGACTGGGAAATGTAGTCTAGCTATGAGCTCAGGAGGAAAAAGTTATGGTGAGCACAGTCCACCAGTAGACGCAAGGCCAGGTTGCTCTGAAAACACACAGGAGGGGCATCTCACTCAGACTGTGGGGATCCAGAAAGTCTTCACGAAGAGTCTTAAAAGAGGGATAGGGATTAACTAAGAAGAAGAGGATGTTCCAGGCAGAGGGAGCAGTGTGAGCTAAGGCAAGGCAGGATAAGAGCATGGTGTGTTCTGGGAACTGCAGAAGATTCTCTTCTGGATGGAATGGTTGGATGTGGAGTGTGAAGGGGAGGAAGTGGCAAGAGTTGAGCACAAGGCCTGATGGGAAGGCTTTACATGTCATGAGAAGGCATAAAGCACCCTGAGATTACAGCCCCCTTCAAGATTTAAGCACGAATGCATGAAGTCACTTCACTAATATTCAAGTAGTGATTTGTGTTCTCCCAATTTTTTTCTACCCCCAAGAAAGGAAATGCTTCACTGGAAGATTGTAAACTAGCATTTCTGACATGAACCAAGCCTGTTAGTTTGATTTGTTACACATCTTCTGGTGTATGTTTGGACAAAGGACCAAAGCCCAGAACACAAGGGACTAAACCCTGGTGGGCAGGAGCCCTATTGGATGACATGAGACTTTTTCCATCCTTAATTCTTTCTTTTTGGGGGAGATATCAGGGGCCCCGAGATGAGCGAGGGGTGCAGGGCTCTTTTTTTTTTTTGGCAAGAAGGCTTATCCAAGTGCAGAAATGAAGAGTTTGGAAATGAAGCTGAAATATCCGATTCCTTTTGAACAAGAGTTCTCGAAGTTATTTAACAATTCTGAAAAATCCCTGAGCCTTGGGGAGAAAATGCTCCAAGTGTAGCATCTCCATGGCACACTCCAACTTCAAAGAGTCCTGCCTTATTGTTTTTGAAATATGAGGTGTTCTGGAAGTATGAACATTAGTATTTGAAGGTATCTCAGTGGTTTCCCCCTCTTTGCATTTTTCTTTAAAACATAGAATAAAAAGGATCTTTATCTTTGAGTATAAGATTGTAACCCAGATATACCTTCTTTTATTTGCCTTGAAATCCTCTTAACAGATTTGGCAAAAAAAAGGATTTGGCACAGAAACTGTGTAAAATTTTCAAGATTCACCTGTGAGTATCCTCTAACATCCTAAGCAAAAGCAACATCAGCAGAAGACAGAAATATTACATGTATATATGTGTCTTCTGCTGATGTTGCTTATGCTTATGTATATTTAAAACAATAATAGCCACAGAAATTGTTTAGAACATAGACCAATAGAATATTTTTTAGGAGGAGGAACATTTTATCATTGACCAATGTCTAAACAATTTCAGAATTGCTGGTGCATGGTGATGATAAAAGCAAACTGACTTTTAGTCAATTTTATTCTTGTTTTTTAATTTTCTGCAGAGAATGCACCCTTTATTCTTGTACCTGAGAAGGACCACTCCCATCCTTGGTACACCACTGAGGAACAGAGCACATGCCTCCACCCCTGTATTAGACTTAACCAAAGCTACGAGGCTGAAGGAAAGCCAAGGGGAAAGAAAGATAATGTTTGAGGAATGAAATAAAGGAAAGCAAAGCAAATTAAATGCAGATACAGAGAATTGGGATGCAAGACCTTTGAAATGCAGATGAAATTGGCTTGAACCTCAACCCACGTGTGGTGAGAGCCTTCATCTCAGTCTTTCTGGAGACTCTGAGAGGCAGAGGTAATGGTGGAGGAACTGGTGTTTTTATCCTGGTCACTTCTGGCTCTGGTATGCTTCCTGGGAATTAATTTGATAGATGGACCATCTATTTCCCCCCTAAACATCATTTACACAAGGCATTCGTGTGTATGTGTATGGAGAATGGGGTGGAATGGGAAAGGGACATAATTTATAGAATATTTAGGGAGATAGGAGCTTGTAAGTAGTTTATATCCAGGGCCACCACATCGCACAACTCCAGGGGACATTGTTCACATTATATTCTTTGCAAAGATGCCCCTTGGAGTTTGTGATTCAGCTGTCCTGTTTACAGCTCCATGCTGCACAGTCCACTCTTTCTCAAAGTGTTCTTCCTTTCTCTCTTTATAGATCTATTGTTTTGCTTCTGCTGGTTGAGGGAAGGTGGGCAGGTGGCAACTGTGGGGATCCTGCTGGTATTTCTAACCCAATGCTCATACTCCCACTATAGATCTCTCTTCTACCGTTCCTGTTTCTAGTCTGGGTCTAGGCCGGTAGTTCTCAAATGGGTGAAATTCTGCCCCTGCCCCCCAGGGAACATTTGGCAATGTCTAGAAACATTTTTGGATTGTCACAACTTGAGGGAGCATCTAGCGGGTAGAGGCCAGGGGTGCTGCTAAGCATCCTACAGAGCACAGGACAGCCCCAGATGTCAATAGTGCCAAGACAGAGAAACCTGCTTTAGAGGAGCCCCTTGGGCTTCCCTCCATTTCCCTCCATTTCCCAGAGCAATGGAGCCTTCTCACCACCACTACCAGGGACACCCTTTCACAGGGTCAGAGCTACATCAACAGGCTCTGCTGAATTAGTCCATTACTTCAAATACCTCCAGGGTCCAAGCCTCGCTGTAAATGAGTGAGGCAAGCCAGGAGTAAGATGAGAAGTGGCACCTCAGTGGTAGGGAACAATGGGTGGGGACTATGACATATTGGAACTTGCATACCTTGTCTATAAAGGCAGCTCTAGATTCTTGCTATATACGCTTCTGTGT